ATATTTTGTTTGTTATTATCATTCATCCATGTAATTGACTATTGTTTTAGCAACATCCCGAGAAACTCAAGATGGAACAACCCTTCCTCATGTGCCTAGCACTATAACAACTGATTCAGTGTTCTCAACTAGACCAGTAGAATTGTCTTGTATTGATATCAAAGCTTGTAGTGACGATCGATGCAACCAATATATCTCCCAAGTTTTCAGGTAATTATTCCGTATCAATGCTTATTTTGGATTTGAATTCCAAACGAGGCATCAATGGCCCATTTTGGTTAAGGCGTCTGCATATTGCAGAAGGTCCCGTGTTCGAATAGCATATGTTGCGTAGCACTGCGCTCAAAATATAAATATAAACATGTGTGTAAATAATACAACAGTACTCATTTACAGAACAAATTACAATAATAGCACTGTATGTTGCACAATCAATATTTGTTCTATTGATATATATTTCTGAACATATTTATTTCATACGTAATGTAAATATATTATCAATGAATATAAATACATTGCAGTGTTGAAGGCTCCTCTGGATTATCAACTACTGTCATCACAACCGGTAATGAAACAAGTACATGTGTAAGTGTGTATGTCGGTAAAACCGTCAATGTTTCAGCAATGTGCTCAAATGGTGATGTTGTGAATACGACAGTAATACCTACTACAGTAAGTACTTGCTCCGAAAGCGGTTGCGTTGAGTTGCTATTTGTAATTGGATGCATACAGTCTAGTACAGAAAGTGCAACAACAGTGCCAGACATACCACTTGGAACAAGAACACCTGAAGAACCTAACTCTGTAACACAACAGATTCAGTGATCTCAACTGGACCGACAACCGCAACATGTGAGCACCTAATCATTTATACAACAATAGACCGTAACTGATGTCTGTAAGAAAGACTGTATAATGTGTAAATTATTTCTTAGTACATACAATTATTGTAATAAAAATTATATTTGTTCTATATATTTTGTTTGTTATTATTATTCATCCA